AAAGACTTAAAAATACAGATAAACAAAAAGGAAAAAGTAATCACCCACAATCTTACAACCAGAGAGAACCAGTGTTAACATTTTCTATGTATATGAAACACATAATATTTCTTTTTTAAGTTGTTTTTTTAATTGATCTTGGAGAGAGAGAGAAAGAGAGAGAGAGAGAGATTGAGATTTGTTGTTCTGCTTATTCATGTATTCATTGGTTAATTCTTTTATGTGCCCTGACCAGGGATCAAACCCACAACCTTGGTGCACCAGGAAAACATTCTAACCAACTGAGCTATTCAGCCAGGACCACATGATATTTCTTTTAAAAAGGGTAGTAAGCTCTATATGTTATGATTTCTTTAAAAAACGAATAGTATACTGTGAATATATTTCCATGTCCGAAAATATTTTAAATCAAAATATTTAATAGTTGAGCTACATTTCAATGTATTCAGTGACCTCATATTTGGAGATTTGGGTTTTTTAATTTTTTAGAATTATAAACAACTGTGTGTTGCACATTTGTTTCTTCTGATAAAATCACCATAAGGAAATGGTCTGCCAAAGGGCAAATTCTAGTGAAAGGGACCAAATCCACAGAAACTCCAAAGATCCACACCATCTTTCTGCCCCACTGGCTCTTGGGCCTTTAGTAGCAAGGATGCAGGAGAGAGGGGAGAAGGGAGAAAGGGAGAGTCTGCAATGACTTGGGGAGAGGATTTGGACAACTTAGAATGTAGGAGATGGAGTTTAGCTGCAAAGCACATGAAAGAGATCGAAAAGGAATGGGGCAAGATTAGTTTTAGAAGGTTTTGAAGATACTCCATGTTTGTTTTTTTTTAAGAGAATGCATTATCTATCCTAATTGTTTTTTATGTCTTTTTGGTTAAAGGACAATTGTTTCTCAAAATGCAATGCCATCCTGAGGCCAACTGTATGGGAGGAGTAGCTGCTGCTGTCTTCTGCAATTCCCTCATATTTTTAAGATCACATACATATATCTTAAATGTATATATATATATATATATATATATATATATATATATATATACACACACACACATTCACATTATCCTACAGAAAAAGTACCAATTTAGATTACCATCAACACTGTGAACATATATACAAATAGGTGGATGGATGAATATGTATCAACAGATAGACAAATCTTCTGGGAATATTTTAGGATAAAAAGAAAAGAAAAACACATTCTCTGCAGAGAGTTAAAAAAGCTTGAACTGTCTAAAGTAATGGCATCTATTCCAGATACTGCTCACTAGGCAATAAATGAAGTGGACTCAGAGATGACCCAAGACTCTAAAACATTTAACAGTCTATATGTGTCTAAGACTTACCCTGTAGGGAATTAAAATTCTGGTGACCCCCGATTCCTGCATTTATAAGGACTATATTTAAAATAAAGCTGGAGATCTATGAGTAAGGAAGTATGAAGGAAAACAGTGAGATTTTAGAGTTAAAAGAGTTAGTGACCTAGTTTTAGCCCAAATGAGGAAACTGAGACCCAGAGAGAGTAAGATTTCCTGGGCTTCTAGCTGATCGCAGGCCCCTGTATGCTCGGTCCCCTCCCTGTCTAATGAGGTTTCTATCCCATGAAACTGGGTAGAGAGTGAGCAGTGAAATGGAAAGATCCTAAGGAGACGGGGCAGGAGCACCACCTGGGGCTGATTCTTCATCCAAGACAGAATCTAACATCGACAGCTGTGAGACACACAAACTCTCAACATCAAGGTCAAGCTGCCTCAAAGGCAATTTTATCAGCAGAGGCCACTCACTCAACTGGAACCCCTGGGGCAGGGCACAGTGATGCATACTGCATCATGAAATGCAGGGGTTGCCCCAGCCCGATGTCCCCTTTAAGTACCTTTTAATGGAGAATTGGGATGGGCCAATTATAGGAAGAATGAATCACAACACACTGTAGTGGGGTTGCTTGTCAGCAGGGGAGACAGAAGAAACCCTGTAACAGTACCCTAAAATACACCTTCAGAGCATGTGCCAAAACAGTGGGCGGACTGGCAACAGGAGGCGACAGCTGACCAGGCGTGTTCAGCAGGCCTTTTAGCGAAAGTTCTAGGCTTCGACTAAAAAAATGAGGGTTCCAGCGGCTGAAGCTGTCCCTGGAAGAGCTCTCTTTGGCTCTGATCATTCCATCCCACCTGCAAATGCTGGAAAGAGTCATCAGGGGCAGTGTTTCTCAATACCAAGGACCTGAGTAGGGACAGAGCTTAAGGAAAGATGTTCAGGCTGGAGAGCCTTGCTTCTCTGACTTCTCGGGCTTGTCACTTTGTGAAGCAAAGAGACGTATCAGTTCAACGCAAAGGAAGACAGCTTGAAGGGCAGCCCTTTCTCCCTAGACTGACTTGTTAAATTTGGAAAGCTACACCAACTCCTTCTCGCCGGAAAAGAAGAGATGGTTTTTCAAATCCTTTTTAAAGTTAGGTCCTTCAAAGGACTGCATTCCTTACAACAGCATTCTGAGGCACAGCTTTGTCTTGCTTCTAATCTCCATAGCTCCTAAGAATGTGATTCCCCACTTTGTTTGGAAAGCAAATTCATGCACACAGAATATTTTAGTGCGTTTGATTACAGAAGGCATCAGGGTAGCCTATAGGAGACTGTTCTGCGTGGCGTGAGCCCAGACAGGACCCACGTCCATGGACAGGTTCTCCCATGGGGAACCAGGCCTGCATTGTAGCTAGGCTGCTATGAGACTTGCTTTTGCTGAAACTCCCTCACCCTGAATTGAGGCAGCAAGTGCTTACTGTAACTTCCTAAAGTCTGTGCTAAACCTCCCCAGTATGAAGTGTAACTGGTTCAACCACTTGTCCCTTTTCATTTGCAAATATCCTTCTTCTGTGATGTAACTAGTGGCATCAGCTCCTTTGTTTTCTACCTAAAGTGAACCTGTGCATAGTAAATGAGGACCATCATGTCATGTTCCCGGAAAAGAAATAAAGGCCTGTCATGGCAAGGGCCAAAGCTTTTTTTCTCCTCTTGAGAGAAAAGCCATGTTGTCCCTTTTCCTCCACAGGACCTGGTAGTCTGTGTGAATTTCTCGTGCCTCATCCACAATGTGGCAGACCCCAGGAGCCGGGGTCCATATCAGTAGCCTTTATAAAAGAAAAGGCAGCAGGACCCCAAAATAAGACAATTATTAGACTCATGAAATTAAAAACCTTCTGTGGGGAATAAACTGGTCTATCCTGTCTTGTTATAATTTTCCCAGGCTTTGTCCGCCTAATAGGCTGAGAAATCTTTAAAAACCACAGCTCACTTTCCTATCTAAAGCCCTCCAATGACTTTCCACTGTGCCTGGAATAAGATTCAACCATCCTGCCTCGCCCTCTGAGATGCAGGAGGTACAGCTCTCTCAGTCTCTGCAGCCCCGTGATTTCTGCCCTTTTGTCTGCTCCTTGAATGTGTCCCGCACGGTATCACTTCATGGTTCTCTTCGTGCTGTTCCACCTGCCTGAAGTGATCTTCCTGTAGCCCTTCACAGGGTGGCTTCTTTCTCATTCTTCAGGTCTCTTGTCATCTGTCCCTTCCTCAGAAGAGGTTGTCCCTGACCACATGCTCACCAGATACTCTTTAAGATACTCTGCAGGAGTACCTGCTTTGCCTTTCTTTCCAAGCGCTCTCAGTGAAATTATTTCACCATTGAACCTCCAGTATCTAAAGCAATGTTGGCACATAGCAGGTGCTCAGTAAGGTGCTGTATCATACACGCATTCTCATTTTGTGCAAAATCTTGCTAGGAAAGAATTGGACTGAAGCCCCATAGGAAGAAATGACAACATATGTCACATGCATGGACTAACATGGCACACCATGACATTTCTTAGCATTTGAAATTTAGAACCAGAAATGTTAGAGGAACTGTCACATAGTACTTGGGGGGAAAAATAAGGAAGGCAGAACCAAAGACAGTATTAGCATACACTATGTAAACATAGGGGTATTAAATACGCTAATCCTTATCTGCCTAGAACATTATCTGGCACATACTAGGACTTCAATACATGCTTGTTGAGTAAATAAATGAGTGAATGAATACCTATGAGTTAACAGCCTACAAATGGTTAGCCCAAAGGAGAAAACAAAAGATTAAACTTTAACCCAGGGGGATATTCTGTTGAAAAGGAAAAAAATACAGTTCACAGAGGCAGTCCCGTGTTAAAGAGAGCTGGCTTTGGTATGATGACAATGGAAGCAGAGAGACCTCCTACTGTGTCCTGCTACATAGCGGGCATGTCCCCTGGACGTCATCTCACCTGCTCAGTAAGGGGGTGCTGCACTGCTGTGCCGGGGAGACCAACTAGGTATCAATTCCAACCACTCAAATAACGAGCGAGCACCCAACATGATTAGGTTTGCATTAGCTTCCTATTTCTTAACACTTTTATTCTTATTAGACAGTATGAGTTATTAACCAAAGTGTGGTGAATATTTTCATCAAAATGACTATTTACAGTAATTTTTTTTAAAAAAACAATCAACTTGCCCTGGCTGGCATAGCTCAGTGGATTGAGCCCGGGCTGCAAACCAGGCATCACAGGTTCGATTCCCAGTCAGGGCACATGTCTACGTTGCAGGCCATGGCCCCCAGCAACTGCACATTGATATTTCTCTCTCTCTCTTTCTCCCTCCCTTCCCTCTCTAAAAATGGATAGATAAAAATCTTTAAAAAACATTTTTAAAAAACCAATCAACTTGGCAATTGATAAATTCAGTTTTCTGTTTTTCCAAAAATGCTAAATCGAAATGACAAGGGAAAACAGACACCTTTGTGTTTAATGGAAATAAAATACCTTCCCTGGATGAGAGCACATTAAAACTTATGACATACTGTAAATACGTCTATTTAAACATTAGGAAAGTTTTCAGAGGAAAATGAATGATTCGTACAAGTGAGTCATAATAATCATCAAGGATAATGATAGTTGTATAATGCCACCAACAGGAATAATATACAAATAGATGCTTACCAAGCCACCCCCAATGATAGCGACCTTTTTCCTTTGGATGTCAGATGAATCCATGACTGCCGAAGTGTCTGTCACAGAGGAACCCTTAGCTCCTACACACAGGTCTGCCCCAGCTTTTATACTGCGGAAGCCCAGCCAGCCACAGTGCTTGGGCTAATTCCTCTTGAGCTAAGAAGTAGCAGTTAACCCCTTGTCAGCCCAAAGCACAATCAGCTCTGCTTCAAGAAAAAAAAGCAAGTGCATTACATTAACCGCATTTTGAAAAATGCACCCAAATGGAAGCACTCTTTATCTTACGTGTAGACACCACATTTTTGAAGCGCAGTCTTAGGGCTTTTCTTCTCCTTTTTCTACTGCATGTATTTTCTTACTCTCTTACTTTCATTTTCATTCATAACTAGCCATGAATGAAATTTCCCTTGTCTGACATCCCAAAGGATCTTAAAGTTCCTTTTGAGAGTGAGATGTCATGATTTCATAAGTGAATTGTTATTTTTGTTATTAAGACCTATCAGGAAGTTCAATGAAAGTATTCTCACAGATTGTCTTTAACAGAGTCTATCAGGGAAAAAATTGCCTATTCTTAGTATTCTCCCAGAAATATTTTGAATTGTGTAAACTGATCATATCTCCTTCCCGCACCCCACCCTCCACTAGCATTGGACGCTAGGAGTTTGAGACTCTTACTTGTGCATTATCACTAGGGCAGATGATTAATATGTTTCTTGTAAACTCATTCCTGGCTGCATATTATCTTTCCATTTCTTTGTTTTCTTTCATCTTATTTTAAATATATCTTATTATTTTTTTAAGATGATGTGGCTGGTGTTAAATAAACAAAAGATGGTGCTTCTTCACTTCCTAGTGAGAATAGGGAGAATTCAGAACAGTTTTTCCCTGATCAAAAGCTCCAGTTAAATATCATTCAATAGTGACCCCTTGTGGATAAGTATAGAGTTGCTAGAAAACTTTTTTGCTGGTAGATATTTTATTTATTCATTCCGTGTTGTCTTGCTGTTGTCTTGCTGGTAGATATTTTATTTATTAATTCTGTGTTGTCTTCTAAAAGATTTATAATTTATCATGAGAGCACATTAAAACTTATGACATACTGTAAATACATCTATTTAAACATTAGAAAAGTTTTCAGAGGAAAATGAATGATTCGTACAAGTGAGTCATAATAATCATCAAGGATAATGATAGTTGTATAACGCCACCAACAGGAATAATATACAAGCAGATGCTTACCAAGCCACCCTTTTTACTTTTTATTTTTAAGTCTGTAATCAACATGGAGTTCATTTTTACACATAGCAGCCAAAATTTTCTTTTCCAAGTGAATACCCAATTTTCCCCAGTACTCCTGAACAAAAAGACTTTTTTCTTCCCACGACTGCCTTTGTCTTAGGTCCAGGCTCCCATGTGTGTGGGTCTGGTTCTAGGCTTCCGTTCTATTTCATCTGCTCTGCACTTGCTTGTTCCAGTGCCGATTCCACAGCCAAATTGCTGTGTCTACAATGAGCCCTCACAGCTTGAGCAACTCTGCCTGCTTTGTGCTTCTTCATAATTTTCTTGACCATTGTTGTAGTGTTTTGCATTCTCATCTCAGTTTTAGAATAGCTTTGTTCATTCCACCAAGAAAAAATAAAAACAAAAATGCTCTGTTGAGATTTCTTAGTGGGATTGCTTTGAAGTTATGACCATTTCGAGAAAGAATAACATATTTAGAATGTTGAGTTTTTCAATCCTTAAAAATGTTTTATCTCTCCATTTGTTTAGATCTTCTCCAAGTTCTCTCAAAGTTTTATATATGCTCCTTTTAGATGTATTTCTAGTGTATTAATAGTTTTATTTTATTGTAAATTGTATCTTTAATTTCATTTTCTGCTGTTGATAGTATGTAGAAATACAATTTATTTTTGGTTGTTGAGTTTATATGCAGTAAAACTGCAGAACTCTCTCACTAATTGTAATAATCTTTAGATTCTTTTATTTCTTTTTACTATAATTATAACGATAGTTTTTTATCTTTCTTTCCTATTGATTAAATGATTGCCTTAGTGTTCTGGCCAGTAATTTCAGGACAGCGTAGAAGAGAAATGTATTCAAGTTCCAAATAGATGGGATATCCAATAGATATACAATTGGTATTGATTTCTAGAAAAATTTCGTTGTAGTCAGGAATATGCTATGTGTGTAAAAAAATCTATAGTGTGATTGGTACTTATTTCCTTGAGTTTCTCTCCATATGGACCAAACCACATTTAAAATTGCTATGTTACTGGCAAAATAAAGCTTTTATTATTATGAAGCAATCTCTTTATCACAAGGAGTGATTTTTGCCTTGAAGTTTAACTGTCTGATATCAATTTAGTTAGCATTTACATATTATATTTTTTCAACCATTTGATTTCAACTGTCTTGTATGCTTAAATGTTAAATGTGGCTTTTTCAAATGTTCAGCTGAATAGTTTAAAAATGCAAGAGGAGCATCTGACACTGAATATTTCCACTTCTCTCTACGCATTTATAAATTTAACAAATCAGCGTTAGTAGCAGAGGTTAATGGATGCAATATTTGTTCAGTGGTTTTTGTCATTCTTTTTCTTTTGGCATTAAGAGAATATTGCCTCACTCTGTTCAATGAACTCAGTCTGCTCAATAAATGTTTACTTATTCCAGTAGGCTCTTTGCTCACTGCCTGAGTATTCTCCTCCCGTCTTATCGCTCGGCGTTTGGATCTCTGGTCAGACACACAGTCCTTGCTTTGCTCACTCTATTGAAAAGACGTACTTATCCCATTATTCTCTAAATATGGTCCTGTTTATTTTTTACTGCACTTGCCATCATATGAAATTTACTCTTATGAAAACTGGCTTACTTATTTACTTATTTGACAAACAAATAAATATTTGTGGAAGTGAAGGGGAGAAAAGTAGATGGACTCAAGATATAATTTTGACGTAGAATGGCCAGGATTGGCTGGGAAATTGGGCGTAGTGTATGCACGTGTTGGGGAGCAAGGGCAGAATTCAAGAATCAAGGGCTCCCACGTTTCTAGCTTGAGTAACTGATGGTACCATCTGCTGCATATTAAATAATGGTATGGGAGTGGTAATTGAGTCTTATCCTTTGGATATGTTAAGTTTGAGATGTGAGTATTGAGATAGATAATTAAAATATAAATGTTAAACATACATTTGGATATTTGAATTTGAAACACAGAGGAGAAGTCAGGGCTGGAAAAATAAGTCTGGAGTCATCAGTACCTCAGAATAAAAATGTTCTCAAAAACTATGAATGAATAACTCACAAGGGGAGAGGAAATTGACCTAGAAAATGGATAGAGGATGAGAAAGAGAATAGCATGTGTATTTTAATATTATTTACATGAAATTTTACAAGGACACAGAAAACTGTATATACTTTATAAGAATACACATGAATAAAATGATACAAAATAAACATACTGTAATAGTTTCCTGGGGGCCTGAAAGGAGAACAGGTATAGGGGATGAATAGAAAAAGAAGTAAATATTTAAATAAAATAAGAATGGCTCTTTTAACGTGCCACGTGGCATAAAGTTAGGATTCTGGTTAACTCAAACCTGAGGTTCCCTAAAAAGCTTGTTTTTAGTTTAGTGAAGAGTAAGAAAAGATGATTTAGGACTGAGCCCTGGGCTCTTCCTCATTCACAAGCGAGGAGCTGGAAAAGAAGACTGTCGAGGAACAGCCAAGAACAAGCGGGAGAGAGAGCTCAGTTTGCAAAGATCAAGAAGGAGATTTTGCCAAGGGCAAGAAGTGTGGGTTATATCTGTGTGGCCCAAGATGTGGAGAACTGTCTGTTGGATTTGCATCTGGGAGGTCATTGGTGAATGTGATGAGCAGTATCAGTGGAGTCATCAGTGGAAACAGGTGGCAGCAAGTTCGAGGAGAGGGAGGTGAAGGTGGTGAGCTGATCTGTCGCGGAAATGCAGAGGTAGTTCAAGTGGTCCCCAAAGTCATGGCGGTTGTTTATCTGTTTGATTTTGTTTTCAACATGGGAGGTAATACAGCAAAGCTACAGAATGACTTCAGGCAATAGTCCAATAAAGAGAAGTAAACTGATAATGAAGGAAAAAGGGTGGAGAATTACAGGGGCCACGAGCTTGAGAAAATATGGAATCCAGCATATGACTAGAAGATTTGATTTGTTTCTTCCCTTTCAGAGGAATGGAGAGTTGGTCAGCTTTCGTGTGGCTGTTAATTTTGGTGTTTTTAAAAGTTTTTGTACATTGTATGTGTTTATAAGAGTCACACAGTTCTGTGAGACATTCAACATAAACAGTAATTGCTCTCTCTACCTCCCTGCCATCTGTCCCTGAGCAGAACCATCATTCCCAACTGCAGGGTGTACATGTCCCAAATCCCCAATTACCATGCCAACATGAGTACTCCTTGCTTGATTTTAGTTTGTGGGTTGAAGTTATGACTTCTCATTACTGAAACTGGGGATTCATGTCTTTTAATCTCTCCATCTTTTAATATAATTATATCATAATTTCAGTTAGAACTAAATTTCATATTTGATTTAGTATAACTATGGCCAAATTTAATGACGCTTTCTCCCTTTCTTGCAAAATACAACTTTTTTTAAAAAAGCTTATATTTATTTGTTTCTGGAGAGAGGGAAAGGAAGGGAGAAAGAGAGGGAGAGAAAGACCAATGTGTGGTTGCCTCTCACACGCCCCCTACTGGGGACCCGGCCCACAACCCAGGCCTGTGCCCTGACTGGGACTTGAACCAACAATCCTTTGGTTTGTAGGCTGGCACTCAATTCACTGAGCTACACCAGCCAGGGCCAAAATACAACTATTTTAATTTCTCAATTTAATAATTGCCCTTTTTATTGCTGAATTATCTAAACATCATAAATTCAGTCCCAAACTCTCCCCCAATTATCTAAATATCTTATTAATATAATTTCCTCTAAGAACTCCTCTAGTAATCTCCCAGACCCACAGGTATCCTAAATTGGACTCTTCAAAGTCTTTAGAATAATGAGAATATTTTGACTGATAAGAATTGAAACTTACTGCCAATTTTGTCAACAAGGTATTGAGATTAAGAACGAAGGAAAGAGAAATCATTGCAGTGTTCATTGGTCCT